AAAGGAAAAGAAAGAAAAAAAAAATAAATCCAAACGTCATCAGACAAATAAGTAGAAAAATAATGCAATTCTCTGCTGGCACGTAACAGCAGGCTGGGAACGCTTTAACCAGCTATTTTCACTGTGATGTTTAATACGCCACTCTTTCAAGCATAGTCTGAAATGTATAATTTTCCATTATATTCCTGTATGTTTGACTTTAATATAATGAAGCCTTCTCCCTTCACTACACCAGAATATTGGGTCTATTAAATTGCTTGTGCAAGGACTATTTTTGACAATGGAAAAAGCTGAAGGCCAAGAAAATGGAGGTGCCTGCAAACCTCTCTCCTTCTCCAGCCTCTGACCCCTGGCTAACGGCCGCAATCCATCACCAGGACAAGCCTCCCGGCACCACCTTTCCCAGCAGGACGCAATTTGTCTCTTGGCCCCGTGCGACTGTGCTGGGATTTCATCTCAGGGGTAGAGGGGTCTGGTTCTTCTACAAATTCAATTTTCCTTATTAAGAAGTCAGGGATGTGAATCATCAGGGAAACCCAAAACTGCTCCAAGGGGGGGATGAATGGCAGAGACACAGCTTGCCAAACACCTTCCCCAGCAATTGCAGGGTGACCGGAGCGGGTGCCACCTCCAAAAGGATGAGGGAGGGGAGCACAAGGGCTTTTCTTGGGGAAAAAAACCTCCGTATTGCAAACCCAAGTCACATCCAAGCCACGAGTCAGATCACTCTCCAGAAGGAATAAGTTTCTTTCAAGCAAATCTAGGTTGGCAAAGGATGCCGGCTGCATCTCAACTCCTTTATTTGCACAAACACAGCAGCCAGCCCTGCCCGCAGACCCAGCCGGCTCCAAACACCCCAACGGAAGCTCTGCCAGCCTGGCTGGAGCCAGGGCAGGGCTGTAGGTGCAGAGATGGCATGTTCCACCCTGAGCTGCAGCTCTGGGGATCCGCAATATAAATTGGGACGGCTGCACAGCCACGCCAGCAGGACCTGGCCAGAGAGCCATGGGCAAGCTGCAGCAGCCGCAAAGTAACCCTAAAATACTGCTGAAGTGTCAGCAAATCCCCCTGAGCCACGATGCTCTAAACCAGGACGAGCTTGTTTGTCAGCTTGACCGTATCAGAATTACTACCAGGTTCATGAGAACAGGTCCCAAAGCCCTGGAGGGGTCCCAGCACCCTGGTTCCCAGCACCCAGCACAGCGTGGCTGCCACCGGGAAAAGCTGATGGCAGAGGCAGAGCAAAGGAGACATCTCAGCTTCCCACAACATCCTGTGTCCCCCCAAAATGTTTTACTGAGTTTTGCCTGGAAGATGCAAAACTAAAGCTGTGGGATAAGTGATTTTTCAGTCATACAAATAAAATAAAATAAAAATAAAATCCATTTCAGGTCAGTTTTCAATTTCCAACATTTCCACCCATCAAGGAGGGGAAAAATGCTGTGTTTCAGGTTCATCCATCTGTTGGGGTTGGTGAAGCAAAGGGAAACTCATCATTTCAGGTACAAGCCTTCCTTTCAATAAACTGGCAGGGTATTTTCAAACAAAGGCAGGCAGATGGGAAACAAAAACATAGTCTTTCATTCCAGTAATGTTGAAATGAAATGTTTTGACTGAAAAAAAAAATGATGGTGGTTATTCTGAAACACAGACAAATTTGTTAGATATTCTGATAACAAAACACCTCATTTTGCCTGCAGGGAAAAAAAAAGGATTCGGTGAAATAGTTTCTCCAAGCTCCAGTACCTGGCTGGGAACAGCAACACCAAGCTGCCCGGCCACCGGCTTTCTGCCGCTTCACCTGCTAATGCCCTTGTTTTCAACTCCTGCTGTAACAAACAGTATTTTAAAGACAAGATACCATGGGATTCCTGAAGCCAAAGCCCAGAGTAAGGCTTTTAAACCTGTAAGGTAGGTCCATTTTTAGGCTTAATTGCCCATATAAAGCAGTCCTTTCTATTTAAAAGACAAAAAGGGGAAAAAAAAAAAAAAAGAAGTTGCTGTAAGTTATTCACACTCAGTCCCTGCCCTGCTTTGGGAGGATGCATACGGTATCTTCAAAAAAAACCAGGAGAGGCGAGTTGTGGGATTAATGCAGCATGCTTCTTGGTGGGGAGGAATAACTTCTCTCCAGAGCAACTGCACGTTTTCAATGCGAGCGGGATGTCAGCGCCTGGTTTCATTCATTTGAGGCAAATTTAGGACATCAACCTCCCGGCAGTCACGGGTAATTACATCGGTTGGGATGCTTCGTGGGCAGGGACCTCGGGGTGGGGGTCCCCGGTCCCGCAGAGATGGGTGGCAGCTTTAGTTGCCCCATGGTCCCGTAGGAGACAGAGTTTATCCAATTATGTGTGGTGTCATGCTGGGATGGAAAAAACAGAGAGCAGGCACCCTGGGATGCCTGGCCGTCGCATGCCATGCCGGCCCCACGGACCTGCCGGCCCCACGGATACCCTGGTTCCAAGCTCTGCTTCCCCTGCCCTCCGTCAGCTGTTTAGCAACTGCAGAAATGTTAATTAAGGGAGGAAAGCAGAGGTGTTGTGACTGCACCACAGCTGCATTTATATGAAGAGTGGGAATGGGGAGAAGAGCGGAGACAGGAGCTCATCTTTGGGCAAAGCAGGGATCGGCATGGCAGCGGCACGCTCCGGGTGAGCACCCACTGTCAGAGAGTCTGGGTCCCCACACCAGCTCCTCCCGCCCAGTGCCCATCACACCACCAAATCCTTTCCTAAAATCCTTTTTTTTTTTTTTTTTTTTTTTTTTTTTTAACCAGAATTATCATTAAGCATCTAAACGACTCAGTGCACATCCAGTTGACATCGCAGTGCAACACAGCTGCTCAGGAGCCAGCAGAGCTCTTTCCCAATTCTCCAATCATTTTTTAATGATTTTAATAGCACGGCAGCACCAGGCTTCACTATTTTCTTTCTCCTTTTTGGAAAAACTGAAAATTTCCTTCTCTTTCCTGAAACCGCCTGCCCACGGCATTGCCTTCGCTTCAGGGCCGTCTCTTCAGCCCAGATGGTGGAGGGTCAAGCGCCGACAGCTGGCCCAGCAGCACAGCAGCAGGGATGTAATTATCTTTAATTTAATTTTAATCGCGATACCAGAATGAATGTGCAAAACAACAACTGTTTTCCTAAGTCGGGTTTGTTTGGTCTTTGCAAACTTGGAGAGAAAAATCAGCATGAGGTAAAGATCTGCGGCAATCACCCACGATAAGGTGCAAGACCCGGGATGACGGCACAGCTGAATAAAGTCCCCAGACTGCCACAAACACCCACCTCTGCAGCCCCTAGCATGGGGAGAATCAACCATGACACCTTGCCAGCCAGCATCAACCCCTTTCCCCCCCAAAATCCCACCCGGCCCCACAAACCCCGCACCCCCACAGCCCGACGCAGAGCCCTGGTTTCACAGCACATCGCTGTCCTCACGAGGGGACGGCTCATCCTGAGCAAAGCAAATTGCAAGCAAAACGGAGATCAGCACTTTTCTCCCCTCCAGGAAAATTGACTTTAATAATTTGGACAACTTGAAAGGCTCCTGCCACAGGGCAGGAGGTAAATATTCATGAGGGAGCGTTTCCAGGGCAGGCGCAGCCGGTGCGCTGCCTTCCCTGGGGGGACCCCGCATCCCCTCCCCGCCCCGCGCTTCCCTTCATCCTTCACAGAGGCAACTCCTGGGGCTATTCCTTATTGATTTTGCTCTATCCAAGTGCTAATGATGAACAGTGGAATGGGACAACGGCAGGCGCAGAGGTGGGTGGCTCTCAGGGTACTTGCAGGGAGATGCTCTCCAGGTTTATCTTTGCTTCACACCAGATCCCAGCACTGCCGCACATCTCCAGGTGCCTCAGCCTCCTGGTCCAAAACCTCATCTCCCTTATCTCAGCTTTCCCTTGCTCCAGCTCTGCCCGGAGGATTCCCAGGGGATCCCTCAAAGGCACAGTGCTGCCTTGGGAAACACCTAAGATGCTCAGTACCAAAGCAAGGCAAGAGCAACGAGTACCCCTGAAGCTGCAGGAGAGGAGGATTTCTGCTCTGCACGTGCAAATAATTTCCGAGGGGAAGCAAGGAAGGAAAAGCAATTAACGCTCAAAAGGGAGAGCCAAGCACCAGCAACCACTGCTGCTCTGTCCCTGCAAAACCCAGTAGCAGAAAGATCACCCAGCCACCTCCTCCAAGCTGTACCTGGGTCCTCATGATGGTTTTGATAGCAGCTTCAAACTCCTCGGAGTTATTGTAGTCGACAGTCCACACATGCGGCTTCCCAATGAAGTCTTCGGCATATGGGTGTTGGGAGGACACCTAAAACACAGCAGCATGAGCTGGTTTTTGCCGGAACAGCTGCTGCCTACCGCTCGCAGCCACGACGGCAGCAGAGAGGAGCAGCAGGCTCAGGCATGGACACGTTGGGTTTTAAACCACTGCACATAGAGATGCGTTGGAAAACGAAGGGTTCCTCTGAACCCAGCTGCCCCCCGACATCAGGCTGATGCTCTAAAATTCCTTCTGGGTTGGGACACCCCATTCCTATCACCACTGAAATCGCCTCCGCAGCCCTGAATATCTCCATCTCCATAACACAGGTAAAACCTAACCTTGACCCGAGATATTTGTGTGTCTGGAGTGGCAAAACCAGACCAGAGCAGCAAAGCTCTGGGAAGGCACCATGTCTCTAGGGTTTGCCAGCTCCAGAAACAAGGCAGAGATAAAATCCATCACCACTGAAGACTGGGAAAATCCGGCACCAGCAGGAAGCGGTGCTGGAATCTGCATCGCCCCAGTGCCACAGGCAGCCCCATGCACTGGTACCCCGCAGCCACCTGCCTCTCACCAGGCAATTTTGGGGGCTAAACCTCTTTTATTTCAGCCCCTGAGCTGCCTTTTCAGCCCCACATCGCTTCAAGGCAGCCAGAGCCCCCGATCTGCTCTCAGAAAGGGAAGAGAGAGGATGCTGAGCAGAGGAGGTGTTGCAGGGGCACCACGAAGTGTTGCAGAGGGGCCTGAAAGCTTGCCAGCTGGAGGAGGAGAGCAGTGCGGGCTCTGTATTTTATTCTCCAGCTTGCTGTGCTTTCTCATTTTTTGCTGACAGATCAGTCACCTCCTTCCCCTCCGGCATATAAACACCCTGGGGCATTTCCCAGCCCTCGCCCCCGGCTGCCGTCCTGCCTCCGGGCTGCAGCATAACCACAGCACCCACCCGGGAGGGGTGCTAACACCAGCAGCTAATTAGGGGGGCGCACGGGACAGACATGGGGGGTGCAGGACAGCCCTACCCCCTCAAATCCACAATGGGCATCACCAAGCTGGGCTGCGGCAGGGCTGAGCCCGCAGCCCCCCAGCAAAGCCCTTCTCAGCAGGAGCGACCGCTGCACTGCATTATCCACTTTATTAATAATAAAAGAGGCAATTTTCTCAACCCTTTAACTTTTAAAGAGTTCCTGCTTCACTTAGATTGAATTCCCAGTGACGGGCAAGCCTGGGAGGGATTTTGTACCCTTGCAACACCGCGGAGGTCCTGGTGTCCCTCTGTGTGTACAAAAAGATGAACAGGGGACCATCAGCCCCGGTTTGGGAGCAGGGTACGGGGTGTGCATGGATCTGTGCTGATGGGGAAGGAGCTGGGGGCTGTGGTCTGCAAAAGGCTCCTGCACCACCTTCTCCTTTGCAACCCCAAACCCACAGCCACGCCCCTTGCATCCAAGCGCTCCGGCTGGAGACAATGCGAGGATGGGAGAGGGGACTGCATCCACAGGTATCTGCACTTCTGTGTTTGGAGGAAATCTTGCAAAAAAAAAAAAAATCTCAGTTTAGTAGCAACTGCTCTTCCCCAGGCTGGCCCAAACCCTGGTGTAAAGGAGGTGGCTCCATCCAGCCCACCCGCTCGCCTCCTGCCAGACTCGCCTCTCTCGACGTCGGCTTCCCTCGGAAGAACTCGTGGTTGAGGGAGCTGTGCGGGGGGTTGAAACGTGCCTGCAGGAAAACGCAGCCGTTGGCGATTGCCTCCAGTGGGGCAGGACCCTCGTAGGGGAACCCAAAGCCAATGAAGAGCTGCAAGGGAGCAAACCCACGTGCTGGTGAGCAAACACAGCCAACCCCATAAGAAAGTCCTCCGTATATCCCGCCAGCATCCCCTCTCTGCTGCTCTGGTCCTGCACACCAATCCCCTAAAGGCAGCTCCGTGCGGTTCAACACCCCATAGCTTAAATGGGCTAAAAACTCCCCCTGCTCCATTGCTCACAGCCCACTTGGGCAAAGCAACGGGCTCTTCAGGAGCTGCAAGTTCCCCTGTGGTGGCTACAACCATCGTACTGGCCCTGTATGGAGAAATACTGGTTTGCCAAAGCCGTGCGGGCAGGAGTACCAACAGCATTTCCCCCAGACACCGGCTGAAGGCGACTGGGATGCGCCTGCTCCCGCACATCCCGTTTATTTTTATGACAGCTGAGGGGAGAGAAAAAAAAAAAACCAACAACCCACCCCACTTAGCAATAAATGAATTAATCAGGAAACTTTGTGCTGTCTGTGGACAGACTGCAAGGAGAAGCTCATCAGACACATCTTGATTTGAAACGATGTGCTCCGCTCGGCTCCCGTTTAATTAGCCCCGCTGATCGCGCCGGCAAGCCTGGGAGGAGTGCAGATAACGGCCTCGCCCCCCACCCCCTCCTTTAATTATGGTTTATTTCTCGAGGCAAGTGAGTCCTCGCTGCTGGCTGGGGGACGGAGGGG